CATGGTGTTGTGGGGGGGGGGGGGGGGGGGGAAGGAGGACGGGGAGTTTCCGATGCCATGACATTCCAGCATGAAAAGTTCTTCCTACGATACACTGATTAATCAAGTGGGGAGGAGAATGATCACAAAACATTTCATTCTTTAGCAAGAGAAGTGTATGGAGAACATGGAAGCAGCTGGCAGGGCAGAAAAATTCACAACTGTCGACAAGGGACTGGATAAGAATCTTTTCTGCGTAAATAAAAAGTTAGACCTTAAAAGAAAAAGTTACTAAGGATGAAAAGAGCCAAAGCCTTAAAAAATCATTTTCTTATGAAAAAAAGTAAATAGCTTTTTATTGTGAAGTGAGCATTTTAAGCTCTTTGATGTAGCTGTTGATTTTGATGTAGTGTACTTTCCTAGATTTGAAAGTTACATCTCAGTCTCACAAAGCCTATCTGATCCAGCCGCTGCACCATCTGGTTATCAATGTCTTGAAAACCCACTTCCCTTTGACTAGAGAACAAATAGAGATGATTTTCAAGAAGGATTTGTTCTTTATGTAAATTGCTCTTAAACATCTCTTTCTCCTTTAGCTGCATCTAGACTGAATGGTTCTGAAAGAGGCTTATGATTTTCTTAGTAAGAAAAGCCAAATCATTTATTAAGTCTGTCCTTATAAAAGAAATAATAGTAGAAGGACAAGGAACCAAGCCCTTAGTTTTGACATTCTAGTAGAGAAAGTAGCTGTCAAAAATACATAGACAGAAAGAAAATTTTAAAAGTAGGGGTTTGTAACAGGTTTGGGCTCTAAAGTCAATGTGAAGTAGCAACTAGTGAATGAACTGACACTAAGTGCTCCTTTTAGCCATCATTTGACATTATATGTAAAAGACTGGTTAAGCGCAATTAAATTATGCTAACATGTGGTGATACACTAGCTATCAGGGAACTGGTCCAGTGTTCACGTACTGACCCTGAAATAATATAGTTAATTGATCTAATTTTTAACATAGCAATCATTGCAGGTCCTCCTGGAACGACAAAATCCAGGAGTAGTTATAAAAAGTAAAAAAGAACAAAAAAATTAAACCATTTTTAAAAATTGCATATATATTCCACTGAATTACTGGATTTTGCAGCAGCAAAGGAATAAATGCATAAGACAAAAAATTTTACATCCAAAAAAGTCTCAGTGGCTTTTTTCCTCCCAAGCACCACTGGCAGTCAGGGACAAAATGGGAAAAGAATTGGCCTGAATTTTAGATTTCATACAACAGCAGCAACAATCAGATATATACTGATAATCCTGAAAGCTAAACCAGGAACAAGAGCCTCAGCAGTCTTCAATGAAAAGTCAGATCTCACTTACCATGCCATATTCTTCCATGTCCATCCCATAGGGTAGCCAACATCTGTTTTGCACCATCCCAAAAGTCATTCGAATAAGCTTGCTTTAGTTCATTCTTCCTCTTGTAAATATGCAGAAAGAGAGCAGAAAGGTAGAAGAGAACGATGACAACTCCCGGAAGGAGAAAAACTACTGCGAGTGGAAAAAGCACCCATAAGAGGTAGACTGCGTAACTCAGATAATCTTCAATGTGCTCCACGCCAGTCCATTCTCCCAGAATGTAAGTCAGGCAGGTTAAGTAGGACATAGGGATCGGTCCTCCAGTACAGGATTCATTTCCACCTATCATCTCCTGTTTAATTAAAAATAAAAAAGGCAGATGAATAAAAAAAAAAAAAAGAAAACTCTGCCTATACTGTTTAATCATACACCAAACCTCTCTGCTGCATTTTATTCACATACCATTTACCCCACATCTCAGCAGCACCCATTAGAAACATAACAGTTCACACAGCAGAACGCTTGTTTGATTTTTTTCAGTCCTTTTCTTATGTGTAGTGGAAATGTTGACAATTCTAATTGAGAAAGACAGTGCAATTGCTTAATCTCAGGCTAAGGTTTTATCTCATTAAAAACTGTTCAACTTCTGTAGATCCAGAACATTTATAGTGTTACCAATACCAACCTATACTGCATTTTCGATTTTCAGAAAGGTGTATTGATTACCCTAATTTATTGTTCTACACAATACACAGTACACTCAAAACCCCCTCCCAAGCACTTACAACAGCAGGATACAACACCATATCAAATGCAGTGCTACAAAACAACCGGCTGAACACTTCCACTAACCACAAGCATACACTGACTCAGGAAGAAGAGGGTCTCAAATAAGCAAGCCTCACTCCTGTAGAGACCTTTACCTGTACCTGGAAATTTACAGGTAGCAAAACAACAAGTCCCAGAGCACAACACAGAGAGGCAGCAGAAAGGGCAAGGAAAAAAGATCACAAGAGAGTCCTCTAAAAAGTTTTGACTGCTCCAGCTTTACTGTGTCCATGTACAAGAATCGTTCTTCTCCCATGCCAGTTCCCAGGATGTTTCACAGCTAGACCTCTCTGGGCTGATATTTCAGCCTTTCTATAATTCTGGAGCAATATTTTTTTCTTAGCTTTGTAGAATTTAGGGGAAAACTTACTACGCACTTCATCTTACAAACATGAGACAACCTGTATGCTTGGCTATCTCAGCTACAGTTCTAGAACAACACAGACAATACCTTGGGGGAAGAAAATTATCCTAGTCTAGAAAAGTTTTGGTCAGTAACTGTTACTCAGGACCAAGGAGAAAAACATTTTGCAACTATAAGGTAGCCTTGTAGAGGGAAACAGATCAAGAACAATTATTTCTGAAAAAAATCTAAGCTTGGGGTTGTTGTGTTTTTTTAAATTGAAAATTGCATTAAAATGTGACTTACAGCATGTACAATTTCAGAGTTCCTATGCTGAGATAGACATATGTTTATCACTCCTTTACTCTTCCTCTGTTTTCACAAGCAACAAGTGACTGAAATTCAGAAGATAATTTTGCTAACACTATCAGAGCCCCAATGACAACAGAAACTACGTAGCAGATCAGTTTTACTCCACATTTCCTATGAGGTGTTAAAACAGGTACTAGAGCAGGACTCATCTCACTTCTTTTCCTGTCTCAATTTCTCCTCTCATTTCGACAGAGCACAGATGCTTCTTTCCCTTCTGTTTTGAAATTGGCCTCTACCCACATTGCTCAAGATAACTCCTGTTAATGAGAAGAAAGCTGATCTCGTGACAAGGGCTTTGCTCCCACAATCCATGTCTGTTCCACTAACTCAAGCTTATAACATTTTGCTCCTCAGCGTGTTCTTGAGGACAGTGTGATGAGCAGCTGATTTATCTTCAGCAATGTATCAGCACGTAGCATTAGTGACACACACTTCACCGATTTCATGCACATGTGTTTGGGGGTGTGAATTAGGGGGAAAGGATGGGAGAGTAGCGTGTGGGAGAGCACGAGAAAGCTCTTTCTCACTGCAGTTGTCAGATTCGAACTCCAGAACCTGTCAAGCAGCAAACACCCACAGCAAGCACAAGAAACACAACTTGTGAGACCAAGCAGGATTTAGGAGTAGCACTTAACATGACAATATTTATCAGATTGTTATGCTGGGACCTCTCCAGCAGTTCCACCTACTAGCTAGAGAACAATACAGAGCACGGGTTATGGCACAGAAACATTTTCCAAAACTCAGAGGTGATTATATAACTTCAAAGGTTACTTAAACTTCTACTCTCCCACCTATTATATTTTTAATTGCTCACGGCTTTCTCCAAACACAAAATCCTCATCAAGTAAATTTTAAGTCCTGTCCACACATGTCAGCCTTGCAAAATATTTACCCTTTTGCCTGTAATGTTAGCTGCAATACTTCAAATGCAATCATCACAGTTTTATAAGCTTACTTGCACATCTGTGCACTATTGCAACCTGCAATAGAAACTGAAATCTGACTTTTCTGCCAACCACTGAGGTAACATCTAAAGTACTGCCTGCTCTTAGGGACAGTCAACTCTAGTCTGAACAACATTGTTTCCTTATCTTCAAGGGAATCATAGAACAATTTATCCTGGAAAACAGACTCACTGGACAGCACTTGTTCAACCTCTTGCTAACTAAGGAATGACATCGGGTTGCTCAGGGCCATATCCAGTCCAGTTTGTAGTATCTCCACTGACGGAGATCCCACCCTAATCCAGTGCCTGGCCACCCTCACGGTGAAAATGTTTTTCCTTATTCTCATTAGAATTCCCCTTACTGCAATTTGTGCCTGTTGCCTCCTGTCCCTTTGCTAAGAAGACTCTAACTCCCCCCTCCCTATAATCAGTCATTCAGAGCAGCGGTAGGACTGCCTCTGAGATCTCTCTTCTTCGGGCTAAACAGGCACAGCCTCCCCAGCCTCTCCACCAACATCACGTGCTCCAGCCACCTAACAGTGTCAGTGGCCCTCCTCTGCACCCCTTCCAGTTCGTCAGCATCTTTCTTGCACTGTGGGCCTCTAAACTGGACCTGTGGTCTCAAAAGTGCCAAAAAGAGGGTAACAAATAGTTCCTCGATCTAATAGCCATGGCCTTGCTAACGTAGCCTAAAATGCAGATAGCCATCCTCACTCATATTTGACTTGCTGTCTGACAAAGAACAGCCTCCTCCAGGCCTTTATCTCCTATAATGTTGCTCCCCCCGTAACAAGTCCAGCATTTGCCTCATCACCCATGGTGTGTCCACAGCAATACTCTGTATCCAAGCCCAAGCGTGATTTATGTTACTGCCACACTGAAAGACTCTACCAAAGGCAATGGCAGTGAAGAAGGGAAGACAGATTCTGTCTCCACGGTCAAAAAAAGCACAGGATGCTCCACACTGAGTAAGAGTCCAATACAGCTCATATATGCTAGATAATGTCATTTTTGTCTGTTCCAACTGCCTACTCTATGACTGCCCAGAGCAGTTAAAAATACAAGATAAAGCAGACTGTCTGTCTTCGAGAAACACCAGCAATGTCACTCTCATTAGGACCTCATCCAGGCAAAGAGAGACTATCCTTCCCTCCTTGTCAGAGGTTTTCTGACATCTGCCACCATCCAAATCTAAAAACTGTAGTGGGGTGCAGCACGACTAATCCTCACTGTTAGCCAGCTTACAGGTAATGTAAGGGTACACGCTCTGCAATAGGAGCATACCCTTGGAGAACTTCTTATTTTAACTGACATCACCAACACATTTCCTCTTGTGCAGTTCAAACTAAATATTTCTAATTTAAGTTCTAACTTCCTAATAGAGCAGCTTACATACATCTTTACTAGATGAAAAAGATGGAATTTCTCATTCAGAATCATAGAATGCTTTGGGTTGCAAGGGACCTTTAGAGGTCACCTAGCCCAACCCCCCTGCAGTCAGCAGGGACATCTTCAACCAGACCAGGTTGCTCAGAGCCCTGTCCAACCTGGCCTCGAATGTTTCCAGGGATGGGGCCTCCACTACCTCTCCGGGCAACCTGTCCAGGCGTTTCACCACCCTCACTGTAAAACATTTCTTGCTTATATCTAGTCTAAATCTGCCCTCTTTTAGTTTAAAACACTACCCCTCGTCCTATCGCTGCAGGCCCATTCGACTCATGCCAGTGCACACCAACTCGTGCTGACGCCTCAGGCTCCACGCTGACGGCGAGGTGGAAACACGGCTAACGCGCAACTCCTTCCACCGGCCTCTGGCCCACGGCCCAGACGAGCCCTTCGCTAAGCGACGACAGGGGCCTTCCGCTGCGCCCAGCAGACACGGCCGAGCCCAGACCCTGCTGACGGCGATGGAAGAAGCGTTACGGGAAGCCCCGCTGCGGCCGGGGAGGCCCCGGGAGCCCGAGGGCCGGCCCGGCCCCGCGGCGAGGC